AGTAAGGGAACTAAACCTTTACATAATTCGTAAGTTGTGTTGATACTCACTGCCTTTTCTGTACCTATCAGATTTTAATGTTTGAAAGGCAAAAACAAACAAAAAAACCTACACAAATGCACACAAGGATGAAGAGCGTCATTCCTTATTCCAGAGGACACTATCTCTCTTCCATTTGGATCTTGATACAATCAGAGGAACAACAGAATAATATTCCTAGTCTCTCACTGGGAGTGCATTTTTTTATTTTGAGAAAGAAATGGGAATCCACTAACAAGTTCTCTAGTTGTCAGTGAATATTGAAAACACGATTGTTTGAATTTTTCTTTATTTCTTAAAGGTAGAAGCTAGGTTACACCCGTCAGCATGGATTAAAAGAAGTAACCCAAACAAATCTCTTCTGTCTGCTGCCAGTCCTCATCCTACACCACCACTTCTGAATCGAGACTTGTACATGTTACACCACTGAAAAATATCTTAGACTTCAGCAAGGGTCAACAAATAGGGCATAACTGAAATAAGGACCACAATAAAAATAAGTAATAAAAGAGCCTTAGATGGAAAAGTAGTCTTAGATGCAAAAGTATCTCAAGGCAGATGAAGCATTTTAAATGTTTTTAAATAAGTTAATAAGTAAAAAAATGGCTTGAGGCTCCAAACTTCATAAATTGAAACTTCATAAATTAAGAATAAGGGTCCATAATATGAATCTTAACAGTGAAATCTGAGGTGATTAATCAATGAATTCAAGTCAGTATTTTCTTCTACATAACACTTGCTCTTTCCTCTTCTTAGTCTTATAAAGTATAAGATAATAAAGTATTAATCAGTTATTATTTCTATTTAGGAGAGAGAATTACCTCATTTTAGTTTTATTATCTTATATATTGGCATTTCTAGATAAATGAGAATAATAGACAAATGAAATGCTGCACTTCATTAAAATTGATATTCACGTATGAAAAATAGATTTCCAGCTGTAATCTTATATCCTGGGTCAAACATCTAAGCACAGTATAAGTGGAAGTTTGACTTTCAGATGTACAATAAATATAAATCCCTGTTGCATTTATTCTTCCCCATTCTAACTTGCCTTATCTTTCCCTTTTCTTTTTCTAGAAAAAATAACCCTAGTACTGCTAGATAATTTATAAAGCCCAGTGAAAATAAAATATACTATAACTAATATATGCTATATTCAAAAATTAAGAATTTCAAAAGCTGGTCTCTATAGTACATACCTGTAATTCTAACTATATGGGAGACAGGAGCAGGAGAATGAGAAGTTTGAGGCTAGCTTGGGCATTTTATCAAGTTTCTGTCTCAAAATAAAAGGAATTTCAAGACTGCCGACAGAGCAAAACTATGTGCTAGAAATCTTTGCCAGTGTGTTAAGGTAAGAAAAAGACATGAAAAGCACTCAAGGGACTCATTGGATCTCTTCAAACTATATAAAACCCTAGGAGTAGATTAATACACATATAATTAGATACAGTATAGAAATTTAAAAAGCCCCAGTAAGAAAAGCTTGCTATTTTAGGTTTAATTTCTCTAAAATAAAATTATCAAAGCCCCAATGTCAAACTATGGCCTTTCAATTTTTCTCATTTATTCCTAAGGCCTTTATGTTTACATTTTGCATCAAGTCTTAATGTATGATGCTTATTATTTTGCATGAGTAATTTGATATCCAAGTGACTAGCACCCTATTTCCAGTGCATTTAAAAAAATTTAAGTGGGTCCCCTCAGTCCCACAGTCCAGAAAGTATAGTCTTCAGATGTGGTCTGCTTTTCATCTTTACTGGATTTAACTTGAATTAATTTTACCTGTAAACTACATTAAGCCTCTGAGTTAGTGGAGTACAAATCTGAACCTAACACTAACTATAAATGAAGCAAATATTCTAATAACAAAATGTCACACCAAAGAGTAGCAGTAGGTTTACTGTACAGTTACAAAATGTAAACCTCAAGAGTCCTTACTTGCACAGACCCTTCCGGCAGCTCATTTTCATAGACTAGAAGAAAAATATATTTTGAACATACGCACAATCAGGGAAAACACTGTTTCTTTGCATGTTGACTTTCCCTTTTCCTCACAAGTGATGCCAGAAGGGTTTTGGGGAGTTTAGTTAAGGGAAAATAGAATTGGGAATTTTGTTTGAATTTTAGTAGAATATGTTTTTGTGATTTGTAGCAATTTTATGTGTTGTAAAGTTAACCATGTGGATGTAGGAATGACTAGACATACTCCCATAGCTCACTATGCCAAACTTACGAAGGGAATACAAAGGTCATGTAGTATAATATGTATATGCTTGATGGGCCTGACCAAGGAGTAGGAGGTATTGTGGGGGCAAAAAGTTTGAAATATTCAAAGTCAAAAGTGTTCCATGGAAATTTTTTGAAATCTTGCATCCTGTGTATAAAATAAATTGGGTAATTTTCCAAAATTTTACAATTATCCCTAAAATTTACGCATTATCAATAACGACTTACAAAGCAAAAAAAAATCTTTCTAATTTATCAATAATAAAAAATAAATTTGAATCAAATATATCAGAGGAAGGGCAGAGTTTTTATATTTTCCTATAGAAAAATATATTTCAAAATTACCATTATATGAAGAAGCAATCAAAAACTATGCAGCCATTAAAGAAAAGCATACAGATATGCTAGGCAGCTAATTGAATGATTCTTGTTTTTTTAATTTTTGTGATATATATGGCATTTGTCAGTTTTTAAGCTTTTCAATTTGTTGTGATTATTTTCTTACTTTAAATAAATAGTCACTTTCCGATTGTATTTTTTTCTGAAAAGAAAAAGGCTGGTCAAATTTCTTAGAAGCAGTTCTCAAGTTACAAAATCAAAGCATTCTAGGATAACACTATGTAATTTATCAACTAATGATTTCTTACTTTCTTACTTTTCTTACAATTTTTTGGAAAGTCTGTATTATTTCTGCCCTTTTTTCTGTTTTGCTTTTTTTCTCTAAATAAAAATATTATATAAATTTCAAATGTTACAAAATCTGAATCATCACTGAGTAAGAACTTCTAAACATTTAGTAGTAAGATAGATTTTTTTCCTTTTGTTTACAGAATGTTTAATAACATAATCAGATGGAATTCTAGAATCTCACCTCTGCAGACAAATTGATAACTTTGGGGTATATGGAAACATTGAGAGGCACACAAATTCATCACCAATCACCAAGCAGACAGGAGCCCTGGGTAGAATCTGGCACCTAGCCTGGACTTCTGTTCTAAAAAAGGAAATCTTCCACAAAGAAGGTCTATTGAAATGACCTGGTGGAGCTTTCCTATTTAAAGAGGAAAGAGCTGAGGCTTCTTGGAGAAGTCTGACCCACTGGATTTGGGATATCTAAGTTTATTTCACCTACATTGGGTTTTTCCACCATAAAGAAAAAGTGAAGACAACGCTGACACCATGCATGACAATGTCAGTAACACTATTCTTCTATCTTACTGTCCCTCCTGTCCTCAGCAACTGAGTACTTGGTTGAATTGATGAAAATTAGGGGGAGATCTTACAGTTAATGAAACCAGTAACCATTGACAAGATTTTATATTAATTTATCTCTTCACTAGAGGGATTAATGCATTGGGATCATAATTCATAAGTAAATTATGTTATATTCATCAGCCATTCCTTAAAGAAGAGTTTCCATAGAAACATTGCAGTTTAATCTACTTGTTAGTGATCCTGTTTGCATGTTCTTTTGTATGTCTTCATCAAAAGATTAATTTTTTATTTTGGTATACTAAATTTTTTTAAAAAAGGAAAATTGTAATACAAGTTGTATTTCACCATGAGCCCAAAATTTGTTTACAAGGAAAATAATAAGAAATGGTTAGAACATCTCCTCTGGTTGCAGTGGTCACAGGCTGGAGGAAAACTTCTTTTGTTCTAAAACCCCAAGTCTGAAAGAGTTTAGAACTTGGTACAATCCACATGATTGGAAATCCCTTTCTTTGACTTAAAGTCCAGATGGGTAATACTGTATATTACTGAGCAACACATTTGATAGGATATAAAAGCCAAAAGAAGTCTTGAAATAGTTTCTGGTACTTGATGCCCTGGCTTATATTTTACTGTGACCAAAGAATCATAGTATGTTATATTCCAGAGGAGTTCACCATGTTGATTTCAGTAGATCTGACAGCAATGTACCACTGTCAGAATTCTCAAGAAATTTTTTCAGTTGGCTGTATTTTTATTTTAGCAATAAAATCTGTAATTCAGAATAATGATGCATTCCACAGGGGAAAATGACAGCAGGATAGAGTAGGACAAAGACAGACTGGATCCTAAATTGCTTAAACAGACATTTTCCAAGAAACATAAGGTATCATTAGTGCTGTGAATTCTCTGAGATCTTATCCTTCTTTCCATTTTTTTGTTTTTCATTTCTGGGTAGAATCGCTTTAAAAAATCATGCATGAATATGCACATGAGGAGGTAGCTTTGCAAAGCAAATATCCCCTGCTTGATGATGCTTTGTTGTTAGCCTCAAATATATTTAAAAAGAAGCTGTATTTTCAGAGAAGGATCAGTCTGTCCAAGTCTCACCCCAAAATCATCAAGTAATGCAAAGAAAAAAGTCAAAGCTTGATGACTTTTTTATGTTTATCTCCTATTTTAATTGAAATCCTAAAGGAAAAGGCTGAAATGGTTTTCCTGGAAAACATTCTTACACTGGTTCTCCTCTCTCTGCACACATTTACCCAAACCTCCTTGAACCCACAGACCATCTTGTATAATGAGACTGGATTTTTTTCCTTCACATCACCATCAGCATATTACGAGATTTCTTCCAAATAGTGTTAGGGTCAGCTTTCTCTCCCCTTCATAATCTCCAAAAGACCTACCAAAGCTCACAGTCCATGAGATCACCTCCCCTAACTTCCCATTTTTGGTTGTTGGTTTTTTTTCTCCACTTTGGTGGAATGTGGTGCTTAGTTAAGGACATCTGCTACCTCTGTTCTCCTCTTTTTCCAAGTCAGCCTCGATCTGTTCCTCCAGGTCTTCAGGTGATACGTAGACATCTTCTGGCGCTGATGATTTGGGCTGGCAGCGGCCACAACAACAGTTGCAGCAGCAGCACAGGCAGCAACAGAAATAGCAGCCAGTCAAAAGGCCAATGATGACAAATAAAGCCTGGAGGAAACAAGAGCAAAACCAGAGAGAATGAGGGGTTGTAGAATGGAGGATAATCCCAGAAACAAACTGCAGCCATGGATCCCCCGAGTCCTGAAGATATCATAGTTTACTTCAAATGCTGCATGTCCACCCTCACCCTTTCCCATGTAGAAACTATCCCACAGTTTTTAGAAAATCAACTCTGTAAAGTTGTGTTCAATAAGGTAGACCCAGAGGAAATGAACTGCAACTACCTTACTGATGTCAGTTTCTTCTTTATTTTTAGTGTACTATGATCTTTATTAAGAACAGACCATAGTAAAACAAAAACCAAACCACATAGTGAACAAGACTTTCATAAGTCAAATTAGATGGTCAGTCTACCTTGGCTAGTGGAACTGAATCATTGTCACCAAAGGAAACAAGGGCACCTCTCCCTGCCATCCCCTCATTCCTATTAGTCATCCTGTCCTATAGTCACTCCTCAAGCCCCGCTGCCTCCTTCTCCATCATCCCTTTCAGGGCAGGATGGGGCTTTCTTGCCACATCTAATTTGAAATTATAAGAAACTATATGTTGTCATGGTTTATGTCTCTGGCCCTCAGGCCTCATGAGTTTGCATTGTACATTTGTGATTGGTTTGGTGTCTAGTGCTTGGATTGATGGTGTCAATGCTCCACCCACATAGGAGTGGAGCCTGGATGTGATGTAATGGCAGGAAGAAGGTGTGTCTTGCTCTTTGCTGGTTCCTGCTTGCTGTTTGCAGCCGCCATGAACTGTGGCCCAGCCATGCCTGTCTGTCTTGGAGCCAACTAAGTGTGGACTGAAACTTCCAAAAACTGTAAGAAATAAACCTTTCCTTTCCCAACTTTGGGCTTCAGGTATTTTGTCTCAGCAATGAGTAAAAAGTAACTAAGGCATATGTTTTTATTTAAAATGTATTACTTAAGATAGAAAGTAGATTACAAATTTTATCTAGTTAATGAACAAGGAAGACAAAAAAGATTTCCTGGGTACAACATAATACATACTTTGCCAGTAACTTCAACAGAAATCCTTAATGTTGATGAACCTCACTTGCCCTGTTCCTTCTTCCTGACCATTCTGTATTTCTTAGCCTTTGCCCTCAAGGAGTTCCACTCTTCTTTACACATCTTTGCCCTTTTCTACTTTACTATGAAATTCTCATATTCTCTTCTCTGAAAATTCCCTTCTCATTCATACATGGTTGAGTGAAAGAGAAAGAGAGAGAGACAGACAAACAGGACAGACAGAGACAGAGAGAGAGACAGACAGATGGAAACAGAGACAGAGCTGAAACCAGGGTTGTCAAACAGATCTGCATCTCTAGCCCTGTAAATTTTTTTTGAAATAAAGTCTCACTAAGTAACTAAATTGTCCCCGGCTGAGTTCAAACCCAGGATATTTCTGCCTCAGCCTTGCAAAGGGCTAGGACTACAGGCATGTGCTACCATACCTGGTTCAATACTGTTTTTGTTCTTTAATCATTTTAAATTGCTTGATTTTTGTATGAAATAACCTTGCTTTATTCCTTGCAGTGCTTAGCAGACTATAAGCTAGGAGTAGGTATATGATTTTTTCTTTAAAAAAATAATATATATGCAGATTGTATATTTATGTGTGTGTTTGTGTGCGCGCATGTTGTGTGTGCGCATTCATGTGTGTGTGTGATTCATTCATGTGGTGCATATTTCACGGATGAATTTCAGGCCACTCTGATGGGCCATGCATTTGGCTTTGACACAACTAGAATATCTTTGTAGTTTTATTTTTAAAGAATCACATCAGGGACAATTAGCATATCTCTTCACTACTGGGTAAAGTCTTCTCGTGCAAAGGATTTTAGATCAATTTCAACAATTACCTGGGCACGTAAGTCTATTTTCATTTTTATGTAGACAGGCCATAATGTTTATACCTATGGAATCGCAGATGTCCCTTCTCATGAAAAGGTGTCATGTCTGCAGACAGAGTTCCCATGCAAGCCTACAATGGTCCATATTGTTATCTGAATGCTAATAGTCATAAATAATGTTGTCAGCATATATACTTTTATCATGAGTTTCAAATCCACTTAGCAGTATCTTGACTTCTCAAGTGTTCCATAAAGAAAAGAATTTCCATGGGATTCTCAGATATCTCCCTGAAGCATTCTGGGATACAGTTTTCAGGAGATAAATGAAACTTTAAATTGCAGATATTCTCTGCACTTATGTACAAGAACATATTCTCTTTCTTTGTATACAAAACTCTGTGACTTAGTAAGTACAATGGAAGAAAATAATCAAAACTGAGCAAGAAACCTGTCATTTTGGAGATCTGGCTTTTAAAAATTGTTTATCACCACTTACATGGCTGTTAACTGTCTCAAAATAGGTTAATAGACAATATGTATGGTTTATATGTAAATAGATGTTCATCAGAAGAGTATTAAAATTCATAAACAAATATAACTAGACATACATATATTAGGGATTCCTAGGAAACTAAATTTACTGTACAAAGCCAATTCTGATAACATTAAGTCCTTAAAAATGTTGCCCTTTTCTTGTCTATATAGTCATCTCTTTCTCCCTCCTCCCTCCCAGCTTCATCCTCCACTACTTAATTCTCACCTTTCCCCTCCCATTTCCTTCTCTACTACCTCACAGCAGGTTCCACATGAGCCGTGATATAATCATCTCCACGATTTGTGTTTGCTGATGTAGTCTATGCTATAGATAGTAAAGTACATGGCTAAATTTGTCCTATAATAATGTATTAAACATTTGTCACACTAATGAGTTATTTTTGGTTTTGAGCAGTGAGTCATTTCTTAATTAGTCACTACAGAGGAAGGGAGGCCAGTCAAAATTAACCTGAAGCTCCAAATTTAAATATAATTAATGTCCAAAGGATCTTAAGTCAAGTTGGGTTTTATAATTAATTGATGAACCAAATAAAAATGATCCCCAAATAACAGCTCTCAGTGAAAGTAATGTGTCCTTTTATTTACAAGAATTTAATAATGGTACAATAGTATCTCTTTGAAATAGGGTTTAAAAAAGTGAATAATACTATAATGTTCTAGGAGATTGTTTTTGAAGAAAAAAAATGTGATTCACCTTTGCCCACCAGCTTGAGAGCATGAAGTAGGTATTGACATTTTCCTCTCCAAACTGTTCCGCCACATAGAGTCCCAGTGATCCGTACTTATCATATATGTTTCTCTTTGATGTGTCAGTTAGTATGCTATGGGCATTGTTGATTTCTTTAAACTTTTCAGCAGCAGCTGGATCACCTGGATTCTTGTCAGGATGATGTTTCAGGGCCAATTTTCTTTTAAAATAGAAAATAATGGGGGGAAATTATTTGACAAAAATTACAATGATGTGTCTCATAGAATTAGAGAAAACAACTCTAAAATTCATCTGGAAACAAAAGAGACCTAAAATATCAAAGGAAATTATGAGCAACAAAGACAAGACATGGCACATCATAATACCTGGCGTCAAATTATACTATAAAGCTACTGTGATAAAAATATCATGGTAATGAAAAAAAAAACAGACCCAAGGATCAATGGAACACATTAGAAAATGCAGAAACAACTCCAGACATACTAAGCCAATCTTATCATTGACAAAGGTGCCAAACACATTCACTGGCAGAAAGATATCCTCTTTAATAAATGGTGCTGGAAAACTGGCTCTACACATGCCAAAGATTATCTTTTCACCATGTACTGAACTAAATTCAGATTGGACCAAAGGTATAAATATTAAACCAGAAACATTAACTCTACCAGAAGATAAAATAGGTAAAACTCTTAAAGACATTTATGCAGGCAATGACTTTATGAATAAAATTCTGATCACACGGAACTATAACAAAAAGTCAACAATTGGGATCACATGTATTTTTAAAAATTATTTTTATTTATTTAATTTTATTTTGAATAAAATAAACCAAACAAAATGAAACAGAATACAATTAATCAAAACAAAATGATGAAAACTACATGACTTTAAAACAAAATACAAGGATATCAATAATGGCTACCATAATGCCTCTTGTTATCTTCAAAAGAATTGCTCATATTATCAGACATAATAAAATTGAACAAAACAGTACAGAATAAAACCATTAAAAACAAAACAATGGAAACAGTGGGGACTTCAAAACAAAATAACAGGAAAACCAAGTGGGTACCATAATGCCTCTTGTTATCTTTAGAGTAATTGACTATACCATCAGACATGATACAATTAAACAAAACAAAATAGAGTAAAATCAGTCAAAACAAACCAATGAAAGCAATACAGGGCTTCAAAATGAGCTAATTGGAAATCAACAATGGCTACCATAATATATTTTGTTATCTTTGAAATAGCTGTGCATGCTATCAAATATAATAAAATTAGATAAATTGAAACAGAATAAAACCAAACTAAACTGGACAAATGAAAACAACATGGGTTTCAAATCACAATAATAGATTAACAATGGCCCCTGCCTTTTCTTTTATACATTTCCCTTTCACTTTCACAATATGTATTGTGCATTTTGGATCCTGCTACCTCCTTTAGTTTTTTATACTAGAGAGACAATACGTTATTCACCTGTGTGACTGAACCACTTCACCCCTGAGCATGACCTCAAGCTGTATCCATTTACCTACAAGAACCTCAAGGTTATCTTTCTTTATAGCTGAGTAGTTTTCCATTGTAAAACTGCCATGACTTTCTTAACCAGTTTGCAGCTGATGGGCAGGCTACCCCCACTTCCTTCTGGTTCTCTTTCCCATAGAGCATTGTCCTCTCACCTTTGACTTTCAGGTTAACTGTGTTGTATAAAGCATATTGATGGACCCTGTCTCCTGATCCACTCTGCCTGTGATTCTTTTTATTGGTAAACTGAGACCATCTATATTAGTGATTATGGCCAACCTTCTCTGCCTCATCTCTGTCATGCTATTTTCCTGCTGTTGATTGCCTACATTTCCCCTTCATTCCATTGTCTACCCCACTTGGTGAGCCCCCTCTGCTGCAGTTCCTGGAATCATGGTCATTTTTATCTCTCTCTAGAATGTCCTTCAGTACTTTTTGTTGGATTGGTTTGGTGAATTCCTTCAGTTGTTCTTTGTCATGGAAGTACTCTGTTTCTCCATTAATTTTGAAAGACAGTTTTACAGTGTACATCAGTCTGGGTTAGAATCTGTTTTCTTTCAGGACTTGAAATACTTCACTCTAAGCTCTTCTTGATTTGATGGTTTGTGTTATGAAGCCTGTCGTAATTCTGATGGGTTTTTCTTTATAAGTTATCTGTTTCTTTTCTCTAAAAGCTTTTAATATTCTACTCTTGTGTTGAATTTCTGGGATCTTGAATATTATATGTCTGGGTGTAGATTTATTTTGGTTATGGCTAGCTGGACTTCTATATGCTTCACTTACCTGAATGTCATTTCCTTTTCTTATGCTTGGGAAGTTTTCTGATATTTCTGTAAATAGACTTTTAATGTCATTTGTGTTGACCCTGCTTTTTCACTCACATTTATTATTCTTAAGTTATATTTCTTTAGGTTGTCTTGCAGTGATTGAATTGTTACTTCCTGGTTCCTTGTTAAAGAGATCTTTCCTTTTGTGGTCACTAGCTGCAAACCTGTCTTCAAGGTTTGAAAGCCTATCTTTAGTTTCTTTCAAGGTGTTTTGTCAGCTTTGAGTGGAGTTTTTAAATTCCTGGTAATCTATTTGAATCTATTTCACATATTCTAAGTCTTTTTTATATTCTTAATTCAAGGTCTCCCTCATTTTCCTATGCTCCTCTATTCTTCCATCTATGTCTCTGTAGAGGTGCTTAGCAATTCTTTCATTAAGTTTTTCATTTCTTCTTTTACCTGAGATAGTATTTCTGTTCTAATTTCTTTTATAGTCTCATGAAGTTGTTTCTTTACTTCAGTTGCCATCACTTCAGAAATTTCAAGTGTGTGACTCCTGAACTCTTCCATGTTTACATCTTCTGGACCAGCTCTGCTTGAGCTGGAAGCCAGAGTCTGCCTTTTGCTTCTTCATCTTGACATATTCCTGGGTTCTTCTGGACAAGTCGGTAGTGGGGTCCCAGGCAATTCCTACATTGGCTACAATTTCTGAAGTGAGACTGGTTTTTCTACCCAGTGCTGGCTACAGATATCTGATGGTGACCATTGGATGCTCTGGTGCAGGGCTATCTGCTGCTTTTCCTAGCCTGCTTTGGCTCACTGGTAGCTGGTGGAGTGCATTCAGGGGCGGGGCTGGTCACTGCCTCCTAGCTGCTTATTGGCAGAGTGATCTAGGATGATGGCTGCCAGAGTGAGCAGTGGGGGCAGGGCCAGCTGCCACCTCCAGGCCAAGCTGGTTAGGGTTAGGGTTAGGATTAGGGAACCTCTGTGATGGCTGTTGGAATGCACACAGGGGCAGCGCTCAGTCCAAGCAGTTTCCACCCCATGTGCTCCCAGCTAGCAACTGCAGGAGGGAGCTGGCCACAGTTCTGCTTCTGGGCTTATCTTGCCCAACTCCAAAATGGTTCCTGGCCAATTGCTCTCTCCCATAGGACTGAGCCCTCTGCACTCACTGACAGCTAGTGCAGTTCTCTGCATCCACAGCTCCCCTTCACCACTGTGTCTGTTTGCAGAGGCATTTGGGCTTGCCAGCCACCACCATCACTGTGACTGTGCATCCCCAGGCTCCAACAGCTTCTCTCACACAGTGGATCTGACTCTGGGTGAAGGCAATGCCAGGTACTCCCTTCTCCCTTCTTCTTCATTTTGTGTCCTTTTTATTTCCTCTGTGGGCTTCAATTCTCACTTCAGGTTCCTCCTGGGTCCAGAGAACTGGCTTCCTTCCTTCTTGTCTTCCCCACAATGCTATATTCCAGCATCTGGACTGTTTCTCTCAAAGGCTGTTTCTCTGCTACTTAACTGTTCTATATCTTTCTGGAAGCTGGGATCTCATCTTATTAAAAGGCTTTTTGCAGAGCAAGAGAAACCACCAACAGAGTGAAAGCACAACTCATAATGTGGAATGTCAGCTGTTCCTCAAATGATTACTATCAAGAACATATAAAGAGCTCGAAATATTGGACCTCCCAAGGTTAAAGACCCAATCCAAAAATGGGCATCTGGGCCGGAGATTTAGCTCATCAGTGTAAGCACCAGCCTGGCAAGCACAAGGTTGTGAGTTCGATCTCCGGTACCAAAAATGGGCATCTGATATGAATATACACTCCTCAGAAGAAGACAAAAAACAGCAAATAAATATGAAAAAATGGTCAACATTATTGGCCATTTGAGAGACACAGACTAAGTGTGGAGATTTCTCAGAAAACTAGGATTGGAGGTTCCATTTGACCCAGCTATTTCCCTTCTGGGTATCTTCTTAGAAGAATAAAAACAATGTACTATAGTGATATATGTTCGACCATGTTTTTAGCAGCATTATTTGCAATAACTAGATCTTAGAAACAACCCAAATACCCATCAACCAAAGAATGGATAAAAAAGATGTGGTATTTTTATACAATGGAGTACTAATCAGCCATAAAGAAGGATGAACTGGAGGCTTTTATAGGTAAATTGATGCAATTTGAAACAATACTCATAAATGAAATAAATCAGACTCGTGTAAACTTCCCAAATTTAAAGACCCAATAAGAAAATGGGCATTAGAGGTGAATACATGCTTCTTAGAAGAAGAAATACAAACTAAATAAATATTAAGTTCCATTGATCTCATATTCTATATTATACATATGAGATAGTTATGATAGTTATATTAATTTTTCTTAGTTCATTGAAAAGAAAGGTTTGTGCTAGCATTTTTTTGACAATTAAATGCAGATATCTTGTACTCTGAGTAACTAATTTAAAGATAACAATATGCAACACATTAACCATTGTTACTCCCTAATTAATGTGTTTTGAAATTTTGGGTTTTTTCTTCTCTTTAAAAGAAATTTTTAAAAAATTACAATGATGTCTTAGAAAAGCAGATATATCCTTCATACAGATGCTGTGAAATAATGTCTTACCCTCGTGGTTATTTAACTAAGTTTTCATTAAATGGTGCTGCCTCTTTCTAATGTAAAGGGAAAATTGTATTATTTTTTTCCCTCATGTTTTCAGAGGAATTCTCACTGTATAATTTGTGAGCCTGAAACACTTTTATATGGAAAATATGTGAATTTCATCTTTACCTGTAAACTGGTCAGTAGCGTACTCAACATAAGGAGAACTTAAAGAGCTCTAGCAACTGGTCTACTTTACATTCAAATTCCATGTAGAACTGGGAGAGTTTTCCAGAATT